AAAATTAGGCTATACTCATAATTAAATTAATCTATACTTAACTTTTTTAGTCATTAACTAAATTAATCTAAGCCCAAATTCTGGGTTTAAGACTTTGGATTAGGCTTGGATTAATCCTTATCCTGAGCCAACCGACCTAAGTTGCATGCATTGTAACATTCGTAATTGGACTAGATCAAAGTCACCAAACCAAGTGCACCATGCATGCATTATTTTTAGGTTTTTTTAACTACCTTTAGATAATATTGAAGCTAAAGGAACTATGAGGGATGGGCCACCCACATTGTGTAGCTTGATGAACCAAAAAATTAAAAATGTCGGGCTAAATTTTGATAATGTATTGGCAGTTTTTAAGATTTTTTGGCCTATCCCAACCCGCACCTTAAGTGTAATAATATGTGTATAGGCTTATAGGATTGCATGTGTTAATTATAAAACTATGATTTTTTTACAAATTAAAATTTTTATTTAATTATAGTCTAATATAAAAAAGTATATATATATATATATATATATATATATAATATTTCTATATCTATTAATATAAAATTTGTTATCTAAATATTATATAAAAATATTTACCATATATGCATATAACTTCCAAGTTGAGCTTATTAGGGTTATTTATCTTGGGTCCTATCCGCTAAAGCCATCATTGGACTCCAAAAGTTTGATACCTAATTAGATTTCGAATCTGATTATCCCTAATAATGTGTGGGCTTGGTGCATATCTCAGGTAGACCGAACTCAAAAGAAAATAATTACTTGAGCATGAAAATTTATAGATCTAATTGGGTTAGGTTAAGTTATAAACGATTTGTTACTTTTTATTATTAATTTCAATTATCCTACCAATACTATTTTTTATTAGTTACTAAATAAAACCTTGGGGTGAGCATTCAGTTTATTCAGTTAAAAATCAAATTCAATAAACCAAAATTTTAAAAACTGAACTAAAAAATAGAAAATCAAATTTTTTTATTCGATTTTTGTTTATTTCGATTAAAACTGAATTTTAATAATATATACTCTATTATATATATTATAACATATAATATATATTATATATTATGAAATCAAATTTAATTCTATTATATTATATCTTACATATTATATATCATATATTACATATAATAATAAAAAGTTTGGTTAATTTGGTTAACTGAATTTCCAATTCTAATAACTAAAACCGAAAATTGATTTGACCAAAAAAAAAACAAACAAAAAAAAACATAAACCAAAATTCAGTTTTATCAAATGGTGCTCACCCCTAATAAAACCTATTAAAATTTAATTATCCTATAAATAATTTATACTTGGGCTTGGTGTAGATCTGAGCTAAACCTAACTTAGAAGAAAATATTTGCTTGAGCTAAGTTATAAATGATCGTCCCTAAGTAGGAGTCTTATGACATTATGCAAATGGTTTAATTTTTATTTTTCATAATCTTTTACTTTTTATATTTATTTTAATTATCCTATTAAATTATATTTTAGTTTTTATAATTTATGAACTACTAGTTAATTTTTATTAATTTCATAACTTTTAATAATTGCTAGATAAAAAACATGCTAACTTTTTATATTTTTATTAACTTTAGTAATTTTATTAATTATAGTTATTAGGATTCAAATTATATATAAATTGCATGTTATAGGTTTCTAGACAAACCAGGACCATTTTAATATTGCATTTATTAATAAATAAAATATTTAGGCAGATTTATTTATTTCATGTTTTCCCAATCTTTCTTTGAGCTTAACCTTAACCTTTACAAAAAGAAAAAATAAAAAAAGAAAATCCTTTTAAATTAATCAACTCTTTGTTGGAGGGTCTAACAAATCATTGCTACCAAGACAAAGATCTGAATTGCAATGGAATATATCTGGAATTGATTTCTTGGTTGGTTGATGTTGGTTTTGATTGTAAGTCTGCAGTTTTTTGTTTTTTTCTTACCTTAATGGTGTGAGGAGGGGTTGTTGATGGACTGATATCCAAAAATATCTATATCTATATATATAATAAAATTGGATGGTTAATACTATTAATTAATAAATAGTGATAATGGTGTAAGGAGGGGTTGCTTAATACTGTTAATTAATAAATACATAATTTTTAATAAATACAGTTAATACTATTAATTAATAAAAATAATGTTTATTATTAAAAATATTATAATTATTAATATTGTAAATTTTAAAATATAGTAATTATTATTATTCTCTCTCTCTAATAGTGTAAATCTTTATTAAGATAAGCAATGATTACATTTTTATATTTTTAAATAAAAGAAAATAGGGAAACACAAAAAAATGAGAAATTAGATAAATAGCTTCTCTCAAAAAAGTAATTTTGATGGTAATATTTTTTAACTTTTTGTAATTTATCATATTTATTAGAAATCATGTTAATTCATTTTTGGTAATTTCTTGGATAATTTTTGGTAATTATGGCAAAATTATAGGTACTTTATTTTTGGTTAATTTCTTGGCTAACTTCTCTTCATTAAATGTAATTTTTTTTTGCTATTTATATCTTAAATTTAATTACAGTTTAAAATTTAATTATATTACTTATAGTTTCAAATATAATTTAAATTATAAATTACATTAATAAACAATGTTAATTAATGAACAATTCCGTCTTCCTCAGATTCTATGGGTGATATGCTTTTCAATCTCTCATTTTGAAATCTAAAAAAAAAAATCACCCAAACTGCTTCTATAATTCTATTACAATCGTTTTCTACATCCACTTGGAACCTTGCTCTCATGCTAATTTGATGCACAATAATATCTAAAACATTATAAAATAATCAAAATGCATAAAAATATATGTGAATTTACAAATTTTTCATTTCTGATCAAGGGTGCAAAATGGTCAGAACTTTGAAAATCTAAAAACCTTGCTCAAGACCTCCAATCTCCTCATACGGATCAGATGAGTGATGACTGGCTCATCAAATTGTATATAGAAATCCGCTCCCTCCAGAGTTTACCAAAAGAAGATGCAGTAAGTAATCTGGGCACCCAAGCTAGAAGTTTTGGGCTAAAGATCAAACGCCACGCAGATTGAGTGGTTCAAATGATGAGTTTGATGGGCCACACACATTTACGGTGAGAGATCTACATTCTATGGAGTATGATAGACCTTCACATACGCACCAACCTATGTCTATGTGGACAAAATCCCTGTCACCACTCACCAGATGATTGTTAGTAGTAAATGATAGAGTCAAAAAGTGGAATATTCAAAATTTAAATGATTAAATCGAAACGCCCAAACCAAACCACTCATTCTTATCCAACGTTTTTTGACCGTTGGTTTAAAATTGAAATTCCCCTATTTTAACTGCTACCAACTACCATAGTACCCGTATCTCTCTTTCATGCTAAACCGGTCCTGCGGAGTGGACCATATTTATTAATCCGATACTGGCATCTCAGCCGTCCACATTGCCTCGGACCATGTTTGGAGGTCTAGATTCTCTGGGTCTTCCCAGAAATGGTAGTCCTCGGGATCACCCAAGAAGAAACCCGAGAAAATCTTTGCTGCAACACGTGTACACCAAATAGCGGGTCCCGAGTGGAGCGCAACTCTTCAGGCGAACTTTTCGCGTTTAATTTCTTGATAAAAAGCCCCGGCCCATTAAAATTAGCAAAAGCCTACTAATAGCGGCCCACCGTTTGCTGCGCCAATCTCCGGTTTTGCTCTCAAATGACTAAAACACCCCTCGGAAGTCGGAAAATAGCCCTAATTTAGCAGTGGCAGAAGGTTAGTTTCGCCAGTTAAGAGCCGCGCTGCCGCTGCTGCAGCCTGTAGAGCAATCATGACCTCTGAGCTTTTAGCTTTATTCTTTTTTTTTCTCAATTCCTCCTCCTCACATACAGACAAAATCGTAGCACCGCAGCTGCTCACGAAGCTGCTCCCACTCCCATTTCCCAAACGCCCAATGCTCATTCCTCTCCCTACTTACAAAGCTCTCTCCTTTTTTTGCTTCCTTTTGCTTTCATGGATGGTGAAAAGATCATAGAAACCTTAGACTCGCTCTGGTTCTTTTCCAATATCCTCTCATCATCACAACCATTGTCAACTTCCTGTACTGATGGGAAGCCTGCTCAATCTCAATCTCCTCTCAACGACTCTATCACTGCAGATGAACCCAAGCCCACAATTCCAGTCCTTCAGAAACAGCAGAATGAGTCTTCAGATTCTGAGATTCTGGGCGGAACAAGCTTAAAAGACAGTGACTCGGGTCTAAGAACTGACCTGCAGAACATGAAGCCAGCGGACATGGAAGCACTGAAAATTTTGGAGTCAATGGAGAAGGAACAAAATGGCAAGAGAGACAAGAAATGGAGCAAATGCCGTTCAAAGAGAGGAAATTCTCACAAGAAGAAGGAATTCAGTCAGAGTAAGGGGTCTGGTGATTTCGATTTTATTCTTAGAGAAGTTAGGCTGGATGGTGGATCAGTATTCGGCATTCCAGCGCTTCAGATGATGGAGAGAAAAGGGTTTCAGAGATTTGGAGACCTGCATCATTTGAATATGCCTCCACTCAGCGATGGAATGGCAATGAAGAAGCATCTCAAATCATGGGCTTATGCAGTTGCATGCACTGTCAGATAAACTAATAGAGACTTGCTCTAACTGATTTCTTTCTGATGTGGGTCTTGATAGCTTCGGGGTTCTGGTGGTTAACCTTTACCAATTTTAGGGTTTTTACTTTCCTTTTTTTCCTTTTTTTTTATGACAGAGTGTCGATGATGGACTTGATGTTTCTTCAAGGCAGAAGTAGTCTAACAAAAAGGTTTCTCATATTCTTGTTCTTTGGAGGTAAATGAGTATTCTTGTTTTGTTTATCTTTGTGATTTGCAATACCGTGAAGATATCTGAAGCTTCAAGTTAGATCCATATACTTACTTCTATACTGAAAGAGTTCAAGAGTAAAGCACTATTAAATTTCTTCTTTTTTCTCATTGTATTTGGCTTTATTAAGAAGGTTCCTAGTTACAAGAATAGACAGTATTTTACATGATTAGACGTGGATTTACATGAATTACCTGAGTAGATTAATTACAAAGGATTCTAGCGATAATTAGCTTTACAGAAATCAATTATGTGGGGACTCAGAAAAGTGTAAGTGTATACAATTAGCTTTTCATTCCTTGCTGTTGGAGATTGCCTCAGGAAGCTTGAAAGTGGGAGGCCTATCAGCACCCTTTCTTGAGTACTCCCTCCATCTTCGAGCAGCAGCAGCAGCTCTCTTTGCCCTCTCTTTCACTTCGTCTGCAAAAGAATTGTCATAAGCTTACTTTCCACTAAATGTTTGTATCTGTGCACGCCAGAGAGAGATAGAGAGAGAAAGAGAGTTGTTGAGGCTAGTTATAGAGACGTGGTGTCTCATTGGGCCAACAAAAAAGACAAGAACCAGTACATTGCTTGGTGATTGCAATCCATCAAAGGCAATGCATCGTTGGGTTTGAGCCAAAGGACAGTTTTAATAACAAAGTGACAATCATTGCAAGAACAGGGGAAATTTGTATCACTAGGAGATGCTCTTCCACAAGTACCAGACAGTTATACATGTTATATGATATATGTAGAATGAATGCACTTCTTCTGAGAAGCAAAGAAGAGGCTAAAACATCAAAACACTTGATGACAAGCTTTTGGATATCATTGTAACAGTAGTTTGGTTTACCAATCAAAACAAATCAGTAATTTGGTTTTATGCAAAAAGGTAAAAATAGAAACCCTGATTTATGGAAACTCCAAAATAGTCTTTTTTGTGAGAGACTAGTTTATACTATGAGTGGTGACTCCAAAGGAGCTGCCAATTTGCAAAGAACCAACCATGGCCTATGAGAAACTATGTTGCAATAATCAACAATCCAATTGTTATACTATGTTCCACTTCTAAATAGAAACTATGTTCCAGTTCTAAATAGATTATGGTAACCATTGCAATCAAATGTCAAATTCAACCGGGATCATCTAGATGGGCTAGAAGAACAGCAAATGGCTTGCTTGATGTTTTGGGCTTCTTTGTCATTTTTCTATAACATAGTAGGGTTATTCTGCATGTTGTAACAGTGTAACTTCATTTATATGCTTTTAAATAAAATTTACAATTCCCAATCAAGAAAATGTCAAATTCAATCAATCAAGAAACCTATAAGTTTTCCAAGTTAAATCATGTCAAAATAGAACAAAGGATTAAATGCTCATAGATGAACCACTTAACAGGTGCCAAAAGTATGTTCCACATATGCAACTTGGCCCTGGTTAGCCTGAACCCAATGCAAAAAAGTCAGGTTGGGTTGGTCAAGTTGAAATTCAGGTTAAGGTTGGGGCTGAAAAAAATGAACCCACCTTTAACTTCAGGCTGGCTTAGGGTTGTATTGGGCAACCCAATCAACACGTCTCCATTTTTGTATATATGAATATTATATAAATGTTTATATGCATGTACTTATGCATGGAATTGGGGTTTGCACCACTTGTTTATTTTGCACTTTTTGCCCATAATACCTGTATTTTGGTAGTCTTTTGGCTTCCCCCAAAGGTCATTCCAGTATGATCTAGGTTTGTCAGAATCCTTTTGCTTCATCATTCTCAATTTAGCTCTTTCCTGCATTCATTGTTGGAAGACATACATGAAAGAAAATGTCATTGGAAAGAGAAGGAACCAAAAAAAAGGCAAATGTGGATGAAATGTATATATCTTAGGTAGTCATCTATATTATGTGAATATGGGAGAAGGTTTTCTAGTTGGATCACTTAGTGAGCTTCCCTAAACAACTAAGGAATCTTACATGTGAGGAACTAGTTTTGACATCAAAAAGCAATCTTCAGTTCTCTCCCCACCCTCTGTTTATGGAAAATTTCAGCACAAAACACTTCTCTATGTGTGCAAAATACACTTTTGCAGCTAAGTTCTATATTCTAAAATTAAAACTTTGAATAGCTAGTGTTAAATCATGAAAATCACCAAAGTAAGGTAGAGGGACATATAGGTGATATTGAAGTGAATGCAAATTGATCAGGTGGTGAATCCAGCAGATCACCAGCAGATCCCCTATTTGATTGAAGGTTTGGATCCACCACAAGACCCTGCATGTTGCAAATTAGGTGGATTCATTTAGAGAAGATCCCTACTTGACCCAAGTAGATGAATGATCCGGACAATCCTAATTTATGATAAATGAAAGCCCCTTCCCTAAACCATCTAGGTCAAATGCAAGTTAGCAAAACCTTATCCCAAGTATATGGAGTCCACTACATGGAATCCTATTTTGCCATTGCCCTGGTCATTAATGCTGGAGTATCCTCTCTAGAAATTTTATTGCATTTACTTTAAACATAAATTACAAATTGAATATAATGTTGATACACTAACATTAGCTAGAGGCAAGATGTAAGTGAAAACCAACATGACTTCTTACCAATACTTTTGATTGTCGCTTTTCCCATCGAGTGCTCGCCTGCCATAAAAGTAATATATTAGAAATGCCATATGCCTCGTCTTTTGGTGGACAATATGTATCTATGTGTCTGTGTAGATATTTGCAATCTACTGAGGTAGTTTTTCTTTTTGAGTATTACATGGTACACATTACAGGGGGGTTAAAGGGTGGGGACAGAGAAAGGTGCACGTGAGGTTCACTAATGTTACCACGGAGAGCCTGCAGTTACGTGGGTTTGATCCCGCCTCCATATTCAGAGAGATGCCAACTGACCATCTAAGGTATTGGGTCATCGGCATCTATCAAGGTAATTTGAAGAACCAATTCTTCAAGGTCTAGCCATTCAGATTTATGTTCTAAGTTAATTCAACAAGTTGAATAGAAAAATCATTGCTTCAACCCATAGTTTTGCCATGCAGGATAAAGAGAAGTTCTAAAATTCAACCCATCTTGTCTAGAAGACCAAAAATGAAATGCTCAACAGGTTGACCTCCATTACAAGTCATTCAGCAATGTACAGATTAATCTTTTGAGTACAAATATAAGAATCAGGTTGTACTTTGATTTCATGACTGATGGGGAATGAAATTTTCATCTGACCTGGGGATGTGATATATGCCACCTGCATCTTTTTTTTTCTTTTCCTTCATTTTTTTTGGAACCCCAAAGTTTCTTCTAGGTTGAGGGGTGACCGACCACCTTCAAACTTTATTAGTATTTGAAAAGATAAACCTACAATTTTATATCAAGGATTTTGGAGGGGGACTTGGCCTTTACATTGTCAAGGCGATGCTTAGGCAGGCGCCTAAGCGACAAGGCACCCTTGGAGGCTCACCTCACCTAATCACCAAGCAGTTTAATACAGTGCCTTATAAAATACTTTTATATTCTTAATTTTTTGAGGTTATAATTATAAAATATTCATTATTAAACTAAAATATTCATTTTGTGTGTTTATATACTAATTTCTTTTTATTATTTTCTTATTTTTTAGGGTTTAATCAACAAAAACGTTGCTAAATGCTGTATTGAACCCTCAAAGACTTCAAAACTTGAACAATAAGGAAAAACTTAAAATGTTGTCTAATCAACACATTTTCTTCTTCCACCTTTTCTTTTCTTCTTTTCCTATAAACGTTGCTAAATGCTGTATTCAACATGAAGTTTATACTTTTATTATGAAAATTATGGGTAATTATTAAAGAAACATGGTTATAGAACTGGAACTACCCTAGGATATATGTTTTTTACTTGAAAAAAAAAATCCATTGCCTAGGTGAATAGGCGACAAGGTGCCCCCCTGTTGCCTAGCCTCACCTTGGCACCTTGAAAACTATGCCTAAATGCACTACCAGCAGCCTTACAGTGACTTTTTCTTCCCTCTCAAACTTGCTTTGACCAAAGTGGAAACAACTGTCGCCTAGTTTCCAAAATATTTGAGTCAAAAATATGATAGGGGAGATGAAAATTTCATCCACTTGTCATTCAGAGTATCTTTCCAAACAGGTTTACTGTTAATGCTGATTGCCTTTCAAGAAACAAGTGAGCCATCACACTCTACCCTGAATAATAAACCATATATGTCAAAATACAAATATTTGATGATTTATTAATCCTCCTAGAGAGGATAAAAGAAAAGGGAAGAAACTATTTTTTTGTGGTTTTTAGAACTGACGTTAAGCCAACTTTCACAAACAAATCATGCAAGAACTCGAAGTACCAGTAAGGCATTGCCAAACCACAACGCAGTCAAATTGAAGTTTGTCGGTAGATAAAAGGAATATATAGTATTACCATTCTGAAAACGTCAACTGATGAAGCTCCCATTCCTGAAAGCATCAGTGCAACCTGTTCACATTCAACTGTTACTTTTCATGGTTATAAGCAATACAAGAACTGCTATTTTCATCTCAAGGGGGAAAGGTGGAATTCTGGAAGACTTGCAATTGCAACCTCTATTTTATTTCATGCTTATTAATTTAACTAATATCTGATCAACAAAATACCTATAGCTATCGGAAGGAAATCAAAATAAAGAAGAAAACATAGAATGCACAAATCTAATGTCATGAAATAGTAAAATATAGACAAAATTTCTGATTTAACTGGTTACCCTGATGGTCAAAACCTAAAAACATGTCAGTCAGTAATCTAGGAGATCCTTTGGAATAAAGACGAAAAGACAAGTAAAATAATTTTTATTTCTTCCTTTTTTCCTATTTTGGTAGGAAATAACACATTGAACAGTGAAAAAACAATTGTAAAAAAGTAGCTGCAAAATGATGAAGTGAAAATAAAAACGGTCAAGGATTCAAGAAGACCTGGAAACCAAAAACAGGTCTTGGAAAATGGCAGCCCCCCAGAATGGTCATACCTTTTCAAAAATTGTAGAATCAAGGTCAGGTGTTGATGGAGATAAGAGCAGGGACTCAACTATTATCTTATAGAGTTGTAAGGCAATTGGATGGCGAAAAAGAGGGTTGCAATTTGAGATTCTAGAGCTTGTTCTAAATTCCAGAAAGGTAGTCGTTTTCTAGTTAAAGGTCAAATGTTGATGATTGGATTAGAGCTATTGGAATGTGTATCCACATTTAAAGGATCAATAGTTCTGCTTGAGGCTTAAGGGTAGTGATGGCTTATTTAATGCCTATAGTTCAGGTCTATTCCAGGACAAGAGTGAGGATGGATCTGCTTGAGGTACTGAACTTGGTTTGTGTCGTCTATGTTCCAGTCTTATATATATATAGTTCTGATTAATTGGTGCGAGTTGTAAGAAAATAGTTTTAAAAGGGTATTTTGGTTATCCTATTCTTAGTACTTATTTCAGCATTCAATATTTGGAAATATAGTTAAATAGATTCCAGTAATAAAAAGGAACCAACAACAAGATGTAATCAAATAATAAGAAAGGGAGAGATTTTACCAAATCAAGTTGAAACCCTCTCTCAAAGCAGACATATTAGACAGTAGAAGGACCCACCAACCTTCACCAAGATGTTGAAACCACAACCAAAAGAAATGGTGAGAAACCTCTTATTGAAGATCTTCTTTAACCCTGGTCTTCTCTTCCAAGAAACTTTTTTCTTTACCCAAAGAGATTACCGTTCTCTTTCTAAGAGGTTGCCACCCAGTTTTTTTTCCATTCTTTTTTGTTTCAAAAAGAACAGATAAAATGAGGGTTGAAATGGCCATCCCATTCTTACATGTATGAGAGAGGCTTCTAGGACAAACCAAAGCATTTTATTGGTAAGTGGGTGATACTGCTACCAGAAAGAAACAAATAAGTTGGGAAATGGGCACACTTGTCAACATGCATGTACATTTTAGCCACTTAACAAGAATAAAGACAAATATCGCTCCCACCATGAGGAAGGACACTGAACAAACAAACATGTGCCATAAAAGAGAGTCCAACATCCTTCACTGTGTCTTTTAGTTTGTTACCTTGTTGAGCAGGTGGGATGCACATGCTTTTGGAGAAGAGCACAGAACTTATTGGTCATATCATATGGTAATGGCAAAGCCTACTACTACTACCACCATTTTAGCCTCTGTGGAAGCCTTTTTCATACATGTGTAGGGGAGAAGAGATTTTTTTGGATTCTCTTTGGTATACTCTTTAAGGAAAAAAATGCTAGACTAGCAAGTTTCTTGAAAATAAGAGGAGAGAAAAGCTTTCCTCTTGAAAACAGAGAATGGTAGAAGAAAATAATCCATCAAAATATTTTGTCAAGTTTTTTTCCTTCTACAGTTTAATATATTTCCATGTGTTGGAGATATATTTTCAAGAAAATATATCTACGTTTTTTAAGAGATTGTTCAGTCAGAATTTGGTCATATTTTCTACGTTTTATTTTCAAGAAAAAACTTCACTTGATGATTTATTTATCTTATGACAAAGAATTTAATGATTTAATCCCTTGATGTTGGTATCCTGCAGTAATGACTAGAGAAGATTGCAGTGTGTTATATCAAACTAGGTACATGATTTTTTCCAGACTATTCTCATTTCCTTCTTGTTGAATTGGTTTCCCATTGTCTTACTATTAACGATCCCCAGATACCTTATCAAAAAAAATCCTTAGATACCTTAATTATCAAAAAAAACAATCCACAGATACCTGTAAAAAGGTGTCATTTCATGTCAGATAATTCAATTATTAAGGTAAACTCTGTATCCAGCACCTTGTCCAGCCATGTCCTTGGCTCCTTGCAGTATAACATAGTTACTGTTAGTATTTTCTAGTGTTCACCTTGATTTTACTTTGGATTTTTTTTTTGTGGGGGGGGGGAGGAGGTGTTCCTACATTTAGCACCAATAAAATGATCTTGTGAATTCATAAAATGAGTAACTCAACACTTTATGTTACTTCTTCACTTGTACATGGTCATATGAGTATGTTGCCAATATTTGAAACTCAAAATACCTATTTTTACCAACTAATCCTTCAAAACAATTACGCATCTTCAATTAATTATTAGTACAAATCTAATCACGGACTTCAACCCCCAAGCATCTAGCAAAGTGAAAAAAGAAATACTGATTGAGCTTTAAAAAATAACTTTTGGTAATAGCTATTTGGGATAGGGGTCATTTCTTTGTATAATGGTAAGTTCTCAGGATGGAAAGCATGAAAACAAGGGTTCAAGTCTGAGAATGGCCATTTTGTGCAAAAAAAAAAGGAAAAAATAAAAAGAAAAGGCCAAATCTTAGGATTTATCCAGTCTGCCCCTCCCAAGAACCCAGATATTTGGGACAAACATTGGGCAATGACCTTTTTTAATAGCATGTTGGGATATGATAATGAATGCATATTATTTATCAAATGTAATCCCTCGTATATTGTAAATGAATGGTTATAAAACCCAATAACAGAAGCTTGTGAGAATGGTAAACAATTTAATGTGTTAAAGAAAGATTGGAAGAAAATTATTACCACAATAAGTAAAAAAGAAACCAATGATAACATTGCAAGAAATGGTAGTCCATCTTACATTTACTCTTTCTACCCTGCGCATTTCATCTTCAAGAAGAGATAGTTGTGCAGCAGAGGTCCAATGAATACAATCAACAGGGCTGAGAAAGCAGACAAAAAGGTTATACAATGAAGCACAGACTCTATGCTTCTCTGATACAGAAACTCCTGTACTAAGAACGTTGAAGGAAATTTTGGATAAAAAGCATTTCCAAAAGCATCATACTACTAATGAAGAATAAGGTTTCTAACAATGGCAAACACAAGATTACAGACAGATTTACAGAAAAGTAGAAGTACTTGAATGTTGATTTCATGTTAATACAAAATAGAGATTTGAGGTACAAATAGACTCCTGTCAAACAAAATTTTCCAAGTTTAAAAGTACTTAAGAAGCTCCAAGTTCTGATATCTTACTATTAAAATCACTCATTTAAAATCTGTAATACAATCATTTCTTTATGTTTTTGGGATACTTCCACTTATATTCTTCTCCATTTTCTCATATAAATATCAATTCTAGGTTAAAGAAATACCTAGAAATCAGCTTTTAACAATGGAAAGGCAGTAGCCAAAATTCAAGGAAATTTCTTATGTTACTTCTGTATCCAACATTAACCACCATAACAGAAGCATCTTAATCAATACATGGCAAAGTTAACAGTTGTTTTTTTTCCTTTTTTTGCTAGAGAATATTTTAGTTTTATATACAAAGGACAAATATGCAATATCAAAGGGGAAAAATTGATAACGACAGTACAAAACAGCTGACTGCATATGTTAGGTTAAGACTTTGTTGACTTCAGTTTTCTTTGACAAAAGTGATGCAGATGAATGCAAAACTCTTTATAAAAAGTCTATGACATGCCAAAAGAATTAGCTTAAGTACTTACCAACTATCAATGGCTTCTTGAACTAATTCTGGGTTTCCAGATTGGCTACAGACTCTAGCTCTACCAAAATCTTCCTCAATTTCAAATACATCTGGTGCTATATTGGCACAATTTTTACAGCCTGAGAAGATAACAAGGATCACATGATAACTACCTGTCAAACTTCAGGGCCTCTTATATGCCAAACGTTTTGTTCTTAGCAACATACATACATGTATGACTTATTATGTCTTCTGCTCAAGTTTTACCTCTCTATGACATATGAATATATGGCAATATAGAGGGAGAGACGACGGAGGGATTTTTTTTTGTATGGAGAGGCAAAAAAAAAACAGAAAAGTTTCTCTTGTTAAATGAAATGTTCCTCCACTAAGGAAATAAATAGCGAAGTCCACTCATACCTATGCAACAAAACTCATCAACAAATGCATGATCCTTTGGGTTTGAATCATCCATGAAAGGGTTAATTGCAGTCAATGCATACCCATGGATTTCATCATAAACCATGCGTTGAACAGGATCACTAAGTACCTGCACAGAAAATATCCTCATTAACCCTAAGCAAAGGTAAAGTTTAGACAGTTTGGGGCATCCTGGATTCACCGATTCGGTTTAGGAACCCACCGCATAAACCTCATTGATGAACATGCAGAAGTTTGTGGTCTCTGGATCATTGCCACTCAAGTCTGGATGGCAAGCTTTCATGCAATTATAGTAAGCCTTCTTAATCTGTGCCGGTTTTGCATCAGGCAGCTGGTAGCATGGACCAACAAGTGGTGAGGATCTCAAAACAAACAATACATTAAAAAAAAAGAAAAAAAAAATACATTGTTGAACAAGAATCAAAGAAGAAAAATCAAGGTAGAAAAATACAAAGTACATATATTTATTATTTGTCATGAAGAAATCACCTGCAAAAATTCATCAATCCAGATTATCAAAATGCTATATGGACCATAATACAAAAAGCATGTCAGTTAAATATGTTCATCCTTATTTTGGCCTCATTTGGATGGTCAAGGAGATGCAGGCCAGTATAGTATCAGAAATGTGATGGTGCATTTTTTTTTGCTTTCCAACCCAAGGATTTGACCCTAGGGGTGTCAATGGATCAGGTTTGTGTTGGAACCCATCCAAATCAAAATCAATTTGAAACGGGTTGGATGACCAATAAGACATGAACTGGACCAGTCCAGCCTTAATGCTCCAAAGTATTTATTGGATTGGATTGGACCTGGTCCATCTGTAATGGATTTGTATCAGACCGGGTTGGATTGAACCATTATTCGGTCCCTTGACAGACGATAAGAGTATGAGTGCCAATGAACCAGGTTTTGGTTGGACCCAATCTAAATTAAAACCAATTTGAACAGATTGGACAGTCCAGACATTGAATTGGATCAATCCAGAATGTTCCAAAGTATTTATCGGATTGCATTGGTCCTCATCCATCTGTAATGGACTCATATTGGACCAGGTCAGATTGGACCAATATCTGGTCAATTGACAGCCCTAGTTGACATATAATTTGCATATATCCATATAGAAAATACAGATTACACCTTCAGACTGGTTTTATTTAAAAAAAATATATGCCTATCTCAATTCTTCTTAAAGTTACAAGCAAGAAATTGAAGCCTATTAAAAGATATAGACCAAATACAGGTGTTAAATAAATATATGCCCAGCACCTTATGAGTAGAGATATACAGGCATGTAGAGCATTGGTGGAAACTAAAGAGAAACTGCTCCCTATACATTTAACAACAGATTAAAAAATTAAAACATATAAAAAATATATTCACTTTCTTTTGGAATGGTTCTGATCAAAACATTTACACTAGATGCACAGAGAAAGTTAAAGAAAAGATAATATACAATATGGAAATTAATCCAAAATTTGTGAATTCATCCCAAAGATGTATACTCGTTGCAGTTATACAGGGTTCAGTATGGAAGTGGCAACACCTTGTACATTCTTCCCCTTCAACCCGCAACTTTCCCAAGTTACCAGCATTTAGAAAAGGTGCTCCACTTCCATGACATCCATTCATCTCAAAATGTAGTAAAAGAGCTCAAGAAAGCCTCTAAGGACCACATCCAAAGCCTAACCACATCTGAAAGCTTTAGCAGAATTTCTATCAATCAACAATGATGAGGACATCATGAGATAGACCCATTGATTCCCAAGAAAGAGTCATTACCTTCTCCTTAGTAGAAAGAAGCATCTCCAATAGGACCACTATAAGGCCAAATTATATTTCATCCCCTGTCTGAAACAAATTCCCAACACGCAAGCATTATGTTGATTGTCCTTGCATATTGATTGATTATGTCCAACACACTCTGCTTATTACAAGAATATACTCTCCAGAATTGAATTCTCTGAGTAAGTTAATATGAAGGCAAAGGTAAAAACCCCAGGCAATTCCACTCTACATGGTAGATTATGTCTAGTAGAATAACCAAGAGACTAAAAAATTATAATATTGTAAGACTGTAGAAGCATTCTAGGTTCTACTGCTGCTCGATCAAATACTTACATGCTCAAAATAGTTACTGCAAGCATAAACTATAAAAATTCCAAACTTCCTATAACCAATCATCCTTGCCTATAAGAACCATATCAAAACAAATTTGGCGAATGCAATGAGTTGGGACTTAGACTAACTGCTACCCAAGGTCGATCTATCCTATCTACGTTAGAACGAATACAACACTAATGTGAATAGATTGATCATTGGTTTCTTATGATCAGACCGAGTAATTGCAACAAGACGATCAGGTCAACTATCCCCTCCACAAGAACCATATTGATCATCGATGTGCATGACAATTAATGACAAAATTTATAAGTCCAATAAACAAAATCTAGAAACTCTCTTATAAGACATTCAGGAAAAATTCAACTAACAACCATAAATAAATAAAATTAACAGAAGTAGAACAATTACCAGGCCTAAAACGGCGTAGTAATCATCGGCAACCTCCTCCTGCGACGTGAAGTCATTGTTGACTGTAGCCTTGATCTTATAGCATGGTCTCCGGCCAGCAACAGCCGTCGACGGGCTGCTCTTCTTCGCTAACGAGCGTCCTCTGTTTCCCGAATAAGAAAACTTTGATGGGTTCTGGAATTTGAGAGCATCTGTGCAGACGGAAGAGAGTAGTTGAGCCATCAATCCCAGAACCCAGGAGTGAAGAGTTGGTTGTGAAACAACCGGGAATGATTGTAGCGGGAGAAATGAAGCAGAAAATAAGAGATATTTTTTCAAATAAAAAACAATTAAAACTAAATTACGGAATATCATAAAATATTGAGGAGGAGAAATTTCGCCAGTTCGACGAGCAAAATTCTTTTCACTGCTGACATGGCACTCTTTGAACCATTTCTCTCCTTGATATCTGGATTAACCATTTGAATACACGTGCCACGAGTACTTAACACGTGTCGGTGCGTGCTATGTCTCTTCTCTCACGCGCCAACGTCTCTACAGAACCGGCCCGAACCGCCGGAGATATTATTTACTGAACTTGAATTCCATCATCCTCAATAGACTCCAGCTCTCGTAAGTCGTAGCGTGCAATGAATGGGACTCTAGTCTCTAGTTTCTTCTTCCGTGCACGTCATCGCCATCGATCAAATGGTCCCCCCATGGTTGTATTTGGTGGGGCCAGTAAGATACCATTGGACCGTTGATTACGTAGAAATGACAAACCAGTAGTAGAAAGTGATACAGTATAACTGCAGCAGGATAAAAGCAAGGGCAACCTTAAAAATTTGAGCCAAGACAACTGGTCATTCAGACGTCATAATGTACTTTTCATGGACTTATATCCGTTTGGCAGCCGTTGTATTGACTGGATTACATTACTTGTCCGTTTGTCATGCCATCCAAGAAACTTGGCCCATGGCCATGTCAGGAGTGCTTAAAAATAAGTGTTTATTTTAAATAAACGCTTATTTGGGTTTGCATCACAACATGGTATTTGGAAAATAAGTATAAAATAAGTGTTTATTTTAAAAATAGGGATTTATTTTTTAAGCCTAAGTTTTCACAGTTTTTTTTAAGTGTTTATTCAATTTTTTTTTCTTTTAAAATTATCCCTAGTTGAATTTTAAAATACCACTTATAAAATTATTTCTAATTGAATTTTATAAAAGTGCTTTTGTAAAAATACTTTTATAAAATTACTTCTATAAAAGTGTTTTTATTAAAGTGCTTTCATAAAAGTACTTTTGTAAAAGTGTTTTTCATGAAAATTATTTCAGGAAAGTTCTTTTATAAAAGTACTTTCATAAAAATGCTTTTGTATTATAAAAGTGCTTTCATAAAAGTGTTTTTATAAAAATACTTTCTTTCACAAAAGTACTTTTATAAAAGTGCTTTTGTAAAAGTATTTTCATAAAAGTGCTTTCGTAAAAGTACTTTTATAAAAGTGCTTTCGTAAAATTTGAAAGAAAATGAAGGACAAAATAGTCACAAAATGCTTATTTAAGTGCTTATTGGAGAAAAAGACTACCAAATAGGGGTGTCTATAGACTACAGTTCAGTTAACCGAACCATGGGCAATTTTTGCAAACCGACCCGATACCACAAGTTTTTCCATTTCTCCAAATCGAAACCGAACTGGTACCATCGATTAACCGGTCTATCGGATTTAGTTTTTGACCGGTTCGGTTCTTTGATTTTTTGGTTTTTCGATTTTTTATATTTATAATATATATTATATAAATATATGTATAATATTAAATAATAAATGATATATAATATATTATAAATACGACAAAAAATAAATAATATATAATATATTTATAAATAGATTATTATAAATATAATATATGCACATATTTATATATAATGAATAAATATATTTATATATATATAGAAAATATGTGACATATATTAAAATTATATAAAATATATAACCCGGTCGATTCGGTTAACCGTAGGTGTTTTTATAGGTTAATCGAAAACCGAACCGATCCTTCGGTTTTTAAAAAATACCAAACCAAAATCAAATTGATCGGTTCGATTAACCACATTTTTTGGCTCAGTTTTCTCGGTTTGATTTGGTTTTTCCATTTTTCATGGACACCCCTACTAGTACTGATGAAGGGTGATTTGGCACAACCTAGTAAGAAGGGGTCACGTGGACGCGATCTGCTCAAGGGGTGACAACTCAGCCAAAGGAACCCAACCCGCAACAACCGGAGCTCGGGTATTCAGTCACCTTGGCCCAAAAACCACCTCGGCGTAGAGACACCTTGATACCCAATCCAGTTTGGAGCTTAAGAGCCAAAACGCCACATAATCGACTCCAAAGGCCTCCCCAACGGACCCCAAATTTCTCAGGATCACGACGAGACTCATCCTAGCTCCGCTTGAACCAGAGGAAAACGATAAACCTTATCAACTAACACATTTCTCTCCTTCAAAAACGGAACAGATCTTATCTGCACAGCCCGGAGATCCCGAAGCTTTTTCGTAAGGTCCATGACTACTCCACTATATAAGGACATCAAACCCCAAGGCAAAGGTACACGTGATTATTTACTTACTACCACTCAAGCATTCAAGTATTCATCTCGCATCCACAGTATAGAACTGACTTAAGCATCGGAGCGACCTCACCGCGTTAGTCAGCCCGGGTTCTCTGATCTGTTATTTTGCAGCTTGGTCCAACTCGCCGTGCAACTGGAGTTCGGATCATCTTCCAACTAGGAGTATCTAGATTGCGCTCCATCAATGGGCGCCGTCTGTGGAAATCGATCGAAAGGTCATCCCAATTTTAGTTGTAGTTTTAGCTTTTGGTTTATCCCAATGAATTCTTCCAGCAACACCGGGCAAAGCATCGAGATGAACGTCACCGGGGGGTAAGATCAGCAATCAACCTTCCCCCAAGGTCCCATAGTATGCATCGATCAGTTTACTATTCCCCTTACAACTTCAGGGGTCCCGTCACTGTCCATACCGCAGGGCACTACGCAAGTGAGCGTCCCGCTTCCCTCAGTAGTCGTAACTTTCTCTGAGCCATCTGTGGTCCCTCCTGGAATCGGGCACTCCCAATAACATGACCGCGTTCAGTGCGTCTGGACAATACAGATCCAGATGCAACAGGTCCAACAGTTCCAACAGTATCAGCAGTACTACCTGTACCAGCAGTATCAGTAGCAATTTCCACCACTGCATCCGAACCAGCAGCCAATTCCACCCCGGCACCCAGGGTTGTGTCAGGGCCAGAACCCAAATTGGCCTAGAACTAGCCAGAACGTCAACCGATCCCCCCATCGGGGTGAGGGGGCCTCGCAGGTGCCGGTTCCTCCTAGGGGTCAGGTTTCGCCCCGTGGGAAGAGAGACGGTCAGCATACTCATCCAGTCTCGCAAGGAAATTTTAGAAACAGGCCCAGGGATAGTCAGCTCAACAGGGCTAATCTGGCGCGACACTCCCAGCAAGAAAATAAAGGCTCGCGAGGAGATAACAACCAGCCCGGAGTTCGAGGGGCGAACTTGAGGTAGGACCCCTCGGTCCATCGTGATGGCCGGTGCGAACTCCACAACCAGGATCCACCTTGCGACAATGTTCGTAGTGATGCCGAGATACCAGATCAGACCGAAATCAACAGCACCAACGCCGAGCCAATGAAGAAGCAACAACGGTGATGCTGCAAGACACGCCGCTCCTCGGTTAGAAACAGTTCGCCAGCAAAGCCAAGCTAGCAAGCAAAGCAAGCTAAAGAAAAGGAAGAAGTGAGCTCGGTGGCAACAAAGACTGCGCCTCCCTTGCTTTGTCAGTCATCTCCTCTGTCTCCCGAGCTCCTAGCAACTCCGATGCCGAAAGACTTCAAGATACCCCCGTTAGATAAGTATGACGGGTCGTTTGACCCCAATGATCATGTGGATTCTTTCCAGTCTCAGATGCACCTAGCCGGGGCTGACGAATCCTGCATGTGTGTGGCATTCTCCACTACGTTCAGGAGGGTAGTCCGAACCTGGTATCTGAACCTTGTGCCGGGATCCATCAAAATCTGGTCCCAATTTTCCGACCTGTTTACTATGCATTTCATTGCCAGCAAGAAATGCCCGAGGTCGCAAGAAAGCCTTTTGAACGTGCTCCAAAGTGAAGGAGAATTAATCAGAAGCTACATAAAGCGCTTCAACGATACTTTCCTGTAGATACCGGACGTCGATCCAACAGTGCAACTCACTGCGGAAAAGAAAGGAATCACCCATAAAGAGTTCAAGTGGCAGGTAATAGCTAACAAACCAAAAGATCTCATCGAGTTCCTTAAGTTGGCATATCAGTTCATCGGTACCGAGGAGGAGATCAACCAAAAGATTGACAATCCACCGCCGGAAAAGAGGAAGAGAGAGAATGAAGGGACGAGCAATGGTGGGCAGAAAAGAAATAAGAGCAAGTCCCTGAATAGGGGAAGAAGCAAGTCAAGAAGTCGGTCCCCTTCGTGCGGGCACAAGCCAAGTCGGCATTCCAGGACCTTGCCCGTGGAGAGAACAAACTATACGCCTTTGAATGATAAGCGAAGAGAGATCTTAATGGCTATTAATGATTCCTCCTTCATCAAATGGCCTCACAGGTTAAGGGGAGACCCGGCAACAAGAAACCCGAATGTCTACTGTCATTTCCATCGAGATCATGGACACAGCATGGAGAATTGCAGGAATCTCCATGACGAGATCAAGGAACTTATCTGCCATGGGTACCTGAAGAATTACATATTGTGAGAAGAGAGGGGGCAAGCAAACCGACAGGCAGATCGACAGGGGGACCAAAGGAGGAATGACCCCGAGACCAGCAAGCAAAATGAGCAACCACCTTGACAGCTGCCAGAGGAAAGGCCACTCCGTGGGGTGATCAATATGATCACCGACGGATCCATCATTGCCGGATGTACATCAGCAGCTGGGAGGACCTTAGTCCGCGAATTGGAGAACGAAGGCGAAAATCCACCAAAGCAACCTCGGCTCGAGGAACTGAATTACTTCACAGAGGACAATGCGTGTGGGATCCAATACCCGCACGATGATGCTTTAGTAGTGAAGCTAAGGATAAACGACTTCGTGGTGAACTGCATCTTAATAAACTCAGGCATCTCAGCAGACATACTCTTCAAGGAGACCTTTGATAAATTACAGTTACAGCAGAGCGACCTGAAACCAGTAGATACACCTTTGATAGTGTTCAACAGCGAGGAGGTCAGACCTCTTGGTCGAATAGCA